TTCGCAAGGCTATGTTATCCGCATTTTACAACATTTCGCAACGAAACTTCGGAATATTACTAATTTTGTGATGCTCTTTCAAGCTGTGATGAAATTTTTGTCTAGATCAAAATTTTAGTTATAAGGTTAAGTGATGGGGATTGCCTCCCTTGTTTCGCCCAACAATTCACGTACAAATTAAAACCACAAATAAATTCACAATGACGATATACAGTTTGGATATATATATATATTAGAACAAACAAAACAAATTTAACAAATTAAAGGTTCACTTAGATTCTCTTCTCTCGCAATATCACAAGTCACGCTCTCGAGGAAGTTTTTCTCAACACATAATGTTTCATGTGCATGCAGATTTTTGTATTGTCTTTCGTAACAGGCACGCAATGACCCGAACTTTATACAAGTTGGTACAACTTGGTACAAGTTGCCAATGTGCTGCTACTCCTTGGTACAAGTTCTCAAAGTGCTGGTACCCCTTGGTACAACTTGCCACCTTGACCGACCTAGTATAATATTCTAAATTTAACTAATATAAAATTTATGTGAAGTAATGTTCAATATAAAAGTTTGATCAACCTAAAATTGGAATCGTTATATATAACTAACTAAAATTAATAACGTGCTATAATAATAATAATAGACAGTCTCCGACACTCTCCCCCCATATAGCTCGCTAGTCGAGGTATATGTCTACAGGAGACTGTAATCAGTTATAGTATACTTTAACAAATAATAGTTCTCTTGCAAGTTAGTAAGTTCACCTCTCAATTGAGTTCTACAATGTCTTGTATTCTCTGACGTGCTGCGGCTGCTGCATCTCTCGTAGGTCGGAATGGTGGAACATCTGGATTTAACTGGGTTATGTCTTTTTTGACTTTCCAATCACAAGACAATTCTAGAGGGTAAAGGTGGTTGGGGGATCTGTCTAAGAATTTCTTTCCAGCTCGAAGTCTCACGGCTCTCACAACTCCATCACGCCCCGCATATAGCTCGTCCACGATACCGAGTGACCAGTTCGCTCTGTTCCGCTCGTCCGATTTGATGATGACTACGTCTCCATTACTTAACTTTAATTTCTTTGTACCGTTCTTTTGGTTATGTCGCTCACGCAGTCCTCGGATATATTCTGTCGACCATCTGCGCCATACCGCGTCTTTGCAACGAGAAAGAAATCGTGCACGTTTACGTAGACTTAAATCTTCTAGGTAGTGGGCTTGCAGTTCTGGTATGGCGTTAGACCCAACAAACAGTAACGAGTTAGGTGTTAAAATCGGTCTCTGAACATCGTCCTCTACATATTGGAGTGGCCTGTTGTTTAATGCCACTTCCACATCTAAAAGTACTTCCTCTAGCTCCTTCCACTTCAGACATCCACCACCAATAGTTTTGTGCAATGAACGTTTCACCAACCCGATTAGTCGCTCAAACTGTCCTCCCCACCACGGAGCACGGCTAAGGTTAAATTGCCAATGAATTTCAGATCTCGCGAGAAAGTTCTGAAGTTTCTCGTCCCGTTGAACAGTTCTCAGCCACTTAGCGGCAGCTAAAAACGTTTTACCGTTATCTGAGTAGATCTTTTCAGGTCGACCTCGTCTCGCAATGAATCGTTTAAGACTCTGAAGGAATTCTTGGGTGTGTAGTGAAGATAACAGTTCGATGTAAATAGCTCTGGTTAAGCTGCAAGCGTACAACACGATGTAAGCTTTCCCTTCCGTTTTCGTGCTTTTCTGATACTTCAGAGGTCCAGCGAAGTCTACTCCAACTGCTTGAAAGGGCCGATTCCCTTCGGTTCTCTCGAGTGGAAGTATTCCCGGTGGTGGTTGTTCTAAGGCTTTTGCTTGAAATCGACGGCACCCATAGCAACTCTTTATTACTTTACGAACTAACTGTCTCAATCTCGGAATCCAGTATCTACTTCGTATATGTGCCATAGTCATGCCGACTCCCCCGTGAAGAGTGCATGAATGAGAATCTTCCACTAACTTTGTCGCCAACAGGTTTATGTCAGGTATATAAACAGGATAGTGTCCTTGAATTCGACCACGACATTCTAGAATACCGTTCGTGTTTGGTTGTAAATTTAGTCGTAACCGGTCTTCTTCTAAATCACAGTTCGATTGGGCACGCTTTACCCAAAGGAGAAGTTGACTCTCCATCTCAGCCGTTGTCAATGGTCCTCTGGTTCTTTGGTTAGGATTACGGCAGTTAAACGCGAATCTTGCTATCCAGGAACAGATTCTCAGGGTTTTCCACAGGTCAAACTTGGCGAGTAATTCTTCAATTTTGCTGGTTTCTTCAACTGTTGCTGCGAAGATTTGGCGAATTACTTTAGCTTCAGCATCACTTTCTTTCGTTGCTGAGGTAATGATGTCACGGGGCCAGTTCTGTCGGTCAGCTAGCCATTCAGGACCATTCCACCAGAGTTGATTTTCTTGTACAGGTCCACCTCTACTCCCTAAATCGGCTGGGTTTTCTTTGGTGGGCACGTGACGCCATTCAAGCTGAGTGTTGGACTTGATCTTCACCACTCGATTTGCGACGAATTGCTTGAATTCTCCCCCGCCATTTATCCAGTGAAGTGCAACGGTGCTATCAAGCCATCCTTGCATCGCGGTCACAGGAAACCCTTCGAGAGCTCTTTGAACATTTCCAACTAGATTTGCAGCCATGTGAGCAGAAACCAGTTCGAGCCGCGGAATTGTCAAACCCCGCTTTGCTAATCTCGACTTCGCGGCCACAAGACCTTGACTCACTCCCGATGATTGATGGACAATTGCGTAGACGGCACTTGAAACACCTTCGCCACTTGCATCGCCAAATGCGTGGAGCTCTATGGACTCGGTATCTTCGCGAAATCGCACAAGAGAACGTGGTGCGCTAACTTGTTTTGGAAGGTTTTGTTCCCATAGTAACCACTTCCTTTTAAGGTCTTCCTCTATCGGTGCATCCCATCCAATTTTCCTGTTACACGTTTCACGGTAGATAAACTTTCCCAGCAGGACTTGAGGCGAGACTAACCCCAAAGGATCGTAGATCTTAGCTAGTTTCCTTAAGATTCCTCGTTTGGTAGTTGTTGCTGTTTCTAATGTTATGGTGATACTGATTTGGTCGAACCTCTTTTCCCAACGAAGACCGAGAATGCTCAACTCCCCCCAGTGTGCGGTAGCCAGTTGCTGTTTGGCGAACGTTTCTTCACTTGTGGAATCTATGGCTGGTTCTTCCAATTCTGGTGCATTTGAATGCCGCGTCACGAAATATCTCGGTTGCTCTGTCCTTGAAAGTTTTTAATTTCGCTACGGTCGTCTTTCCGCCGATACGATCGTCTACGTACATGCTCTTGCGAAGCTCTTTCACGTCTTGTGGCATTCGAGTTTCCCACGACTCCAAATGGTGTTCGATGAACAGGCGAACATGTAAGACCAAACAGTGCCCGAGTGAATCTTAACGTCTCGACTGCTGCTTGATCGTTCGGTGTCCAGTGAAAGCGGAGTGCATTCCTTTCTGCTTGTTTAATCCGTACTTGGAGAAACGCTTGCTTCAAGTCACCAGTCAATGCAACGGGATGGAATCTCACAAGAACCAGGACGTCCCACAAGCGGTTTTGTAGCGGTGGTCCAGCATTCAGGCAAACGTTTAAACTGGGTGCTTCGGAGTGTGCTCGAGCAGACGCGTCGTACACGATTCGCAGTTTTGTTGATTCTGCAGCTTCTCTAACGACTGGTTTGTGTGGTATGTAGAACTCGCGTCTTCTACGATACCTTCTTCCCTTTGCGTCTTGATAATCTCTGCGTATGGTTCAGTCAGTTCAGTTTGTTTCAACTTACGAGTTAGGTTTTTGAGTCGTCTCAAACTCCCCTTTTCATTGGATGGAAGGAATGGATGATTATTTTTCCATGGCAACCCCGTCTCGTACCAACCCTGATCACTTCTCACGAGTTGTTCACGGAATTCTGTGTAGACGTCTGTTTGGTCATGCTCTGGTCGATCCGCGATTCCAAGAATGTCCAACCGACAAAGCTGTTCGTAGTCAGTTTGGTTGGTTTGGGTTAGAAGCATGGCCTCTTCCTCATGTGTGCATATGAATATTTACCTAATCTATTGACGGATTCCCCTGTTATCTCGCACCTCCTCTTAGTGCACTTTCCATTCTCCTGCCTTCGCGTCTCAGGGTGGCGAGATCCCACGACAATTTCAATGCCTCCTCTCGTATCTTATTATTATGTGTCCCAATCACTATTTGATCTCGGACTGCAATCTTTTCTGCTGAGCAATTTTGATTGTCACAATTAAACCGACAATGTCTAGCCCCCTTTTCAACACGATTACAGAAGGCCGGGAAGGATTCTTGGTCTTGCTGTGTGAATGCCCGAAAATGAAAATTCTTAAGCGTGGGATTGTCTGTGGGTTTGTAAAACTCTTGTATTTTTCTCACAAACGCCGGTCATTTTTCCTTATTTCTGATTGATTCATCTGCTTCAACCACCTGCCAATCCGAGTAAAATCGCCTCGACGAAAACATCCCCAAGAATTTTGCAACTTTATCCTTGGCTTGCCATTCGTCCCGGATGTTGTCGTATTGGTCCAATGTTGGTTTAGGCTGAGGGTTGCTTTCGGTTGTATTTGCAACTTTCCATCTCTCTACAGCTGAATCTAACGACACTTTTGGTGGATCTGGGTATTGAGCGTGATATCTTAATTCAAATGTTTGTACGAACTCTTGAAATGCCTTCAGTGTATCTTCCGAGTGTTTGTCAGGGTCAAAGAACAGTTGTTGACTTGCTTAGCTAGAATACATATTTTCAATGTTAATAGGTCACAAAACTCATTAATTTACGTTTGGAAGAATGCTGTACTTAACTACGATGTTCAGTTATTGCATGAGTTCGATTTTGCACTCGTCGCCATTAATATAAGTTCAATTTAATCAATCTTTTCTCACACTACATCAAATAATATATATCTAACATTTCTGGTCCGCCATACTTGAATCCGCGTGCTCACCGTCCCGTGGTATATGTACATGATACCACTAATTACTTCATTTAAATATAAATATAGGGTACTTCATTGGGTATGTATTTCCCCATTTTAGATTCCCATAAGTAAGAAATGGATAAACCAATGCATAATAAATTAATTTTAGCGTATTTCTGTTTGTATAGTGTCGTAGTTTTGCAATAATTAAGTGCAGCGGCTTTAATTATATTTTTCAAAACCGAGTTTATATGGTTCTTCCATGTCAGCTTTTGACCTATTATTACACCAAAAAATTTTACATGAGTAGCCTGTTATATTGTGTTATGATTTAGTTGAATATTAATTTCAGTGTCGCATTTCTTGTTGCTTGATTTAAAAAATAATATATTTAGTTTTTGTTGTATTTATTGATAATTTATTCACGTTAAACCAATTAGTTTTTTTTATTCATTTCTTCTTACATGGTGTATGTTAATGATTTCAGATTTGTTTTGTTGTAGTAGATAATAAAGTGCTCAACACTAGTATTATAGTACAGCAAGATATATTTATATCTTAAAATTAATTATTGCTACTCAAGTTCACGCCTTATTCAAGACGATCTTCAGGCAATAATTGCCTGAAGATCGTCTTGAATAAGGCGTGAAACTTGAGTAGCAACAATTAATTTTAAGATATAAATATATATATATGTATATATATATATATATATATATATATATATATATATATATATATATATATATATATATATATATATATATATATATATATATATATGTCATTCCGCCTGCTGGACCAAGCCGACTGACTCAGACCAGTATGAATTCAGACTGGAATGAATGTTGACATTGGAACAAGTGAACAACACATGCTAACAAAAGTCATCTGAAGAAGAAAATTGCCTGGCAAGGGGAATAAATTGAAAATTTTGTGATTCTCATACTGGTCTCATGTAAACATGTTGACATGCAATTTCAATTTTCATTCCAGGTTGGTTTCATCCTGGTCTCATGTAAATGGGGCCTTACAAACTGTGATTCAGTATCATGGGATGAGATTAGGGGCCTGTTTATATGATCCCGGCCAGGCGGGACGGGATGCTTACCGAGATCCTGCTCGTAATACAAATGCTAAAGAGTGTTTATATGATCCCGCCACTTATCCCGCCTAGACTGGATTTCGGCAACAGATGCCGGGATCCTGCCTAAGCGAGATGAAAAATTCCCATATAAAAACACTTCATCCCGCCTAGCCGGGATGAAAAATTCCCATATAAACACTTCATCCCGGTTAGGCGGAATGAATTTTTCCCTTTTGGGCATGCGTAAATGCCTTTATTGCAACAAAAATATGACGTCAAGCACCGAATGGTTTCATCCCGGCAATGTATTTTGTCCATATAAACACTAGGCGAGTATCCTGTCTTGGCGGGTTGAAAACGTCCCATCCCATCTAGGCGGGGTCATATAAACAGGCCCTAAGGAATTGAAAGATTTTATAACTAAGCGAGCAATGTTTAAAAGCAAGATATATAAACAATGAAAGAAATGGCACTAACAGAGCCACAACTTCTCCAGAAGTGTAAAAGTCCATGATACTGAATCACAGTTTGCAAGTCAATCCTTCAAAATTTAGTTAAATGTTTCCAAAACTTCAGTCAATATAGTTTTGTAGTACACCCATCTTAAGGGTTCCTTTCAGCTTTCACCTTGCCAAGACCTGTCACTAAATTATGGGTTGCCTGAATAGATATAATTCCTCAAATCATGAATGGTCATGATTTTTGAAGTTAATTTGATAGATATTTTTAATTGCATGGATTATTGGGTCATATTTTTCTGCTATTTAGCCTTAATATTGTAGACTTTTTTTAGGAAAGGAAGTGCAAACAAGCGCATACAATAGCAATTCTTCGACTAATGGGCAACCATGCACTTCTAAATAGCAAGGAAGCTGAATGACTGTAGGGGTATGGATAGCTTTTTCATGGGCTCTGCTCAGTTTGTATGTTGTAACTTATGTCGAGCCATTGCAAGTGAATTTAACAAAGGCCAGTAAACAAAATTGACAAAAATATACACGATAAAGTTGCACATTTCAGCTTGGAGTTAGGTACTATTTCAACTGTCAATTCGATCTCGAACTTTGAAAGGTTCAAAACCTATCTGTCTCATATTTGATCACTCTATAATTTTGTCTACGCAAAGGTTTTCATCATAACTTAATAACAAATTATAATTTAGGTTTTGGAAATCATTGGGTTTTTATCAGGAAGCAGTGCGCGCTAACACTCTCTTACAACATTTCGACGGCCATTTTTAAACACCAAATTAAACAAAGTATAGAAATAAAATAACACTCGAAATAAAGTTTTTGGTTACTTAAATCTTATCTTTAAGTTTCTTATAATAGCTAAAAGTAACAAAAACATATAAATTTTACACAAGTAATATTTTATAAAGCAATAGTTTCAGCATACCTTCTGATGGGTCATATACGCGTAGCCATATTTGTTTACAATTAGAACGTCTTACCCCCCGCGAAGCCCGCATCACGGATGGGTCCGCTCGTTGTATGGCCGTTTCTACGCCCTCTCTCCCTTCGCCCTGCTGCCATCCCTCTTCCCCACGCACTAAATCGGCTTTAATTCCCTTTAGTTTTTCTAGGACGTTTCTGGTGGTACCATTGACTCTTTCTATTTTACCCAGAGTCTCTAACGATTGGACATTGTAGGAAAGTGTCTTATAAAATTCATGCACTTTTGCTGAATTCGATCCCGTTATAATGGGTAATCCCATTATATTTTGAATATGAGCGTTGATAATTTCACTTGTTTTACCATACTCGTCTTTTAATATATTTTTGGCTTGTTGGTAACCTTCAGTACTGAAAGGTAACCCGTCTATATCTTCGCGAATTTTAGGTTCTAGAAGTTCCTTAAGGAAATCAAACTTTGAAACGGCTGGTAAATCAGTGGAATCTATCTCTGCTTCAAATGTATTCCAAAACGGCAACCAGTCAGAATATTTACCACTAAATTTCGTAATTTTTAATTTAGGTAATTTTATATTTTGTACCTGTTTGGATTTCGTGTCCATCGACGCTTGCACGGTCTTTTGGTACTCCATTGTTTGCTTCCGTAGCAGCTCCCCGTGTTCCAAATCTCTCTTCCGTTCTGCTTCTTTATGAGCTCGTTCCAGCTCTAACTTCGCATGTTCAATTGACAGCTGTTTCTTGGTCTCCGCGTCGACAGCGATACGTTGTATTTCCTCGTCCTTTTCACGTTGCACACTGATTTCCTCCTGTTCTATTTCACTCAACACGGCTCGAATTGCGTTTAGTTCAGATTCAGCGGCGGTCAATTTTAACTCAACTTCGTCAGCCCAAGTACGTACGTTTTCCTCTGAGTCCTTATTAATAAATTTTAACTCCTCAATTTCCTCTTTCAACACGTAAAGTGCGCTGATTTTTCTCGCAATGGACTGTTCACTTCGTTTAAGTGCGTCTTTATTACGCGCGGTCACAGTATCTTTCGATTTGGCAAGCACCAAGTCTAGCGCTTTCAATTTCCCAGTTAATTCTTCCATTTTTGTTTCCATTTTGATTTAATCCCGTCTTGGAGGTGCCACTATGTTGGGGATTGCCTCCCTTGTTTCGCCCAACAATTCACGTACAAATTAAAACCACAAATAAATTCACAATGACGATATACAGTTTGGATATATATATATATATATATTAGAACAAACAAAACAAATTTAACAAATTAAAGGTTCACTTAGATTCTCTTCTCTCGGAATATCACAAGTCACGCTCTCGAGGAAGTTTTTCTCAACACATAATGTTTCATGTGCATGCAGATTTTTGTATTGTCTTTTGTAACAGGCACGCAATAACCCGAACTTTATACAAGTTGGTACAACTTGGTACAAGTTGCCAATGTGCTGCTACTCCTTGGTACAAGTTCTCAAAGTGCTGGTACCCCTTGGTACAACTTGCCACCTTGACCGACCTAGTATAATATTCTAAATTTAACTAATATAAAATTTATGTGAAGTAATGTTCAATATAAAAGTTTGATCAACCTAAAATTGGAATCGTTATATATAACCAACTAAAATTAATAACGTGCTATAATAATAATAATAGACAGTCTCCGACAATTTTAGCTACATCATTTATTGTGTTGTATTTCCAGACTGAGAGCCCAGTCCCTCGACTTCAAAAGCGCGTAGAGGCGCTGGAAGCAGTCAGTAAAAACGATATTGAATCACAACTATCAGCAGGGGCGGCGCTACAGGTTGACCTCCCGAATAATTGAATTATCGAATATCACGAATAGCATGCATCAAAGAAACCACACATGCAGCAATGCAAATTTTTTCGAATACAGTATCTTCACTTCTGGAAGCTAGTCCAAAAACATAATATTATTGAAATCATAATTAGGTAATTAAATTTGTTTGTTGCTGTTGCTGCTGTTGTTGTTGTTGCTGTTGCTGTTGCTGCTGCTGCTGCTGCTGTTGCTGCTGCTTATTATACTGTTCTATAAAAGAGGCAATAAAGTCGGTTTTCCACTAGCGAATTTTCTCGCACGAAGCGACCTTTTTCCTTTGTCGGTATCACTTATTACGTCGGCAAGACGTGGCAAAATCAGTCCTCGAAAACGAGGTCGGCATTCGGCAATGGCGGGCTAAATGCAAATTTTTGCCCACCTTAATTCAACCAAAGTAAGAATTTTTATGCTGATAGCTTTTAAAATGACAGCGAATTCGATTAACTGAACACAGTGTAATAGACTCTTGGATATCTTTGGTACATGTATATTTAGTGAGAATATATATGTTGAGCTCAGCGTAGGCTATATAAGACTGACTCATTAGTTATATGTTACATAATACTTATTCATGATCTGATCAAACTAATTGGATCGAGTGTCAATCATTACGTATATAATCATCATATATTACATCCCCCTTTTCCTAAGATTGAAATAATACTAATTACTATATAATTATTGGTAAAACTAGAATACTAAAATTATGAGTATATATGTTCATAATCAGGTTTTATAGTTCGGGTTTTGATTGATCATACGTCCGTATCGACTTCTTTTAGGAGCTTCTCCTGTAGTTGTCTTGGGATGGTTGGTTTCCCGTGTCTGGTCATGACTGGCTTTATACGTTGGCATAAAATTCTCAACCTGCGTTTCGGTCGTGTCGAAAGGAGGTTCGCTAGTTCGCCGTAGGTGTCGTCTGTTTCTCCTATACTGTACTCCGTCTTTCGTTTCGATAATGTAACTGCGCGGTGCTACGTGTGGTTGAACGACTTTTGCCTTGTCCCATTTCGAGTTGGGATCATATTTAAATCTCACTATTTCACCTTTTCGCAGGGGAGAAAGAAAACTGGCGGTTTTGTCGTAGTAGCGTTTCTG